TTACCTTAGATGGCTTTTTGCTAGCTCATCATGATTCTAGAAGACTAGGATTCCGCATCATACTCATAACCTAAACACCCTCTCACACAATCTCTCAAGGTATCACTCCAACTCATACACTCATCGACACTCCAAGGTACTGAAAATTCGTCACTCTTTCATATATGAAACAAGTCTCTACATATGAACTCTCCAAACTTGCTTGAGAGGCTCTTCCCTACCTTCTCTATATATACTACTTGAGAATTTACCATAGTAACAAATGGTAATTTCTATCTAACTTACTTTTACGAAGATAAACCATAGTAAGGTTGACTAGTTATCAATATGTGGCAACATGCCATTGGCCTCCTAAACCTTCTAGATGTTTACTAATCCCTAGATTGAGGTGGCGACATGCCATTTGTGCCTTTCCAACTTCTAGAACTTCCACTTTCCACTAAGTCAACATTAGACTTAGTCTAACCAATAGAATACTCTTTACCTTAGTCAAACCAATCAAAACTAGACATGAAGTTCAAAAGTCTTTTCTCTTGGAATCTAGACTTTTGTACAAGACAAAATAGAAGTGCTCACTCAAATTTTCTAGAACTTCTCTAGTTATTCCGCCAAGTATAGACATTATAGCTAAACTAGCTAGACTTAGTCATAATTAGCTAGATTTAGTCATAACTATCCTAACCATGATTAACTTCTTGGCTAATTCTAGTTTTATTTCACACATGCAATATCTGGTCTTACACACAAGATTCTTTGAATCTTGTGTACAAAAGAATCGCCAAAGGTATGAGTGGGAAAGAGAGATGAAATGGAGACCACAAAAAGGGAAGGGCGTTTAGATGGAGAGAATGACGTTTCAAAGAGTGCTAGAGAGCAACAAGAAGAAGGAAGCATGACAAGATCGGCAAGACACCTTATGCTCAGTAGAACAATAGCAACTGCAACGAAGATGGCGCTTTGAGTGCGTCAAAATCTGAATCACTACCACACACTCCACAAGAAGCTCACCCGCCAAAAAAAAAATCTATCACCAAGCTTTAGACCAAGAACACAAAGTTGTTTATGATCTTTCAACTCTTCTTCACGCGATACAATGCCTTGTTCTCAAAGCACTTGGAAGGATGTTAACTGCAAATTGAAAGTTGAAAACAGAAAACTGACAAGTGCAAACAGAAAGCTAACAAGAGCGAGCCTTTATCTCAAAGCACTTAGAAGGATGTCAATTGCAAACTGAAAGTTGAAAACAGAAAACTGACAAGTGCAAACAAAAAGCTTACAAGAGCGAACTTGTTGATAATGTTTTGCGAAAAGGAAACTGAAAGAAAAAAAAACTGAGACAAATGGAACAATGCTCTCGGATCTCTCTGCGAACAGAGCTCTTGAATACTCTCAAAGTAAAGTATATAAATGACTTGGGAGGGTGTTACAGTCCCATATTTATATACGAGTACTAGGGTTAGTGTAAACCTAAATCAATAGATATTATTGGTTAGGTCTCAACAGTTCTTAGGGTTAGGGTAAACTCTCCTTGTTATTAGAGATAGTTTATCTCAATACATTCAACGTGCAAATCCGGCCTCTGATGGGCTTGCAGTTCTTGTACTGCCTCGTCGAGCTCTCGGCACCGACGCCATGATTCTCGGGGCCACATCGACCACCGTCGGAAACTAGATTGAACGTGAAGTTCACAACCCGGTAGCTGACACATTCTACTACGTCAAGCTCAACGGCGTCAAAGTCAACAACCAGGTCGTGGGCGGATCCCCGCAGGCGGGTTCACCCTCAAGCGCTCGGGGTTAGGCGGCGTGATTCTCGATTCGGGCACCACGCTCACTTATCTCATTCGGTCGGCCTACGATCCACTTTTGCTGCGGCTGCGATCTCTGATCCAGTACCCCGTGCTGGACTCGTCGCACCTGGGCTTGGATCTGTGCTATGATGTGTCGGGCGTGTCGCGGCCGGTGTTTCATTCGGTGACCCTCCAGTTCCAGGGCGTGGATCTCGTTCTTCAGGCACCACGGATCTCAGCATCATCGTCAACATTCAGCAGCAGAACCACTACTTCCTGTACGATGTTGAGAACGAGAGAGTGGGGATTGCCCTTGTCGAGTCTTGCGCGAAGCTCGCGTCCAAGTCCATCGCCCATCCTGCTGGTAAGATCGATCGAGTGGAATTCTGGGAGGAGGTTTGAGATCACGCCATGGATGGATTACGCGTGAACGTGGTTCGTCCACGATGATCATGGTCTCGCTGTCCACATCATTCTTTCTTTCACAGTTAAGTCTCTCGTAGACCGCACGAACAAGACTTGTTGTCCGTTATGTAACTACATATCAGTGGACAATCTTCGAAAATCCAGTGGATCAAATTGAGAAAATGGTCTTCTAGTCACGGGAGTGCTCCTTACACCTTCATATGGAATTCCGTCAGCGTCGATCTAAGATCACGACCTTAATTACATATATAAAGATATTTCAATATCCCTTTTTTCCGAGTTTTGCATGGAGACCATGTGACCAGTTTCTCACAACTCTTCAAAGAAGCTGAACAGAATTATTCGAACCTTGTATTTCCGGTATCGTCACTGTGACTCTTAATGGAAATTCATGTTCTGACAGTTCAACGTCATTTGAGTGCACTGTCAATTTTAGGACTTTGGTTCATGACCAGTGGAACTTTTATCTTCATAACAAGTCTCCGATATGATCATTGGTCGTAGTAAGTATTTCTTCTTTGTAGGAGTCTAATTCTCCTCTGTGATAATGTGCATGACCTAACAGAAAGCCTCGTTCATGGTTGTGTATGACATGCCATAGACAACAGGTACGTACTTTGAGTTGGAGATGAGCACTGAGGGGAGATGCCCTAAAACCATATACATATAAGCCCTAGAACACTAGGTATAGCAGCCATATACATGCTAATGTCCATGAGCTACAAATGTGACATACTTCAAAAATATATTATAGTTAAACCTACCTAATTGTAACCCCATATTTTACACCACACGCAACATCTCATATATACATATGATATATTTACCATTCAGCATGACATGGACATCGATTCATTCATACTTGTGCAACATCGGTTGCTGTTAATTTACGTTACTTTACGTACAATTATAATATTTGATAATAACATTGTCATGAACTAAATGGTAAGAAGGGAAACATTCTCTTTTTGCTGATTGTTTAAAATATAAAATATTTCTGCACAACTTACATGGTACACATTAGTGTTGAAATATTTACTAGATCTATGTGCATATCTTCTTTAATATGCTGAATTGATGAGCATTATGGTGGATTGATCTTTTATGAAAATAAAACGCAAACCGAAATCATGCGTCATAGTCAAATATCATTGATATTTGATACTGTATCAAGTTTTTGATAAGAGTGAATCAAATCTCTAATCAAATTCTACATTCGTGTTTTTTCATAATGCATATATTTTCTATTATATATGTCAAATTGAAATTTCTGCATATATATCTGTAATTTAATTCCCTTCTAAAAAACTAATTATGAAAAAATCCTTTAATCATTTTACCTTTTGTTAGACTCATGATTTCTTTGCTTATTATTATATAATACTAAGTATAGGCAAATTTTTTTTATCTTAGGCTCATGTTTTTTTAGATCTAAGATGAATTTGATAATACTTCATATCTTCAGATACTCTATGCCGAAATAAATTATTTCGTGAATCAATTATCGTTATGAATAAACTGTAATACTTTCGAGCAAACACATTAACTTTGACGTACAAAGCAAATCTAGTTATTTGTGGGATTCAAAATCGTAGCCTGAATCAATAGGGTCAATCATTGAGTGAAGAAAGCTGTATAAGTCAAGTATGCAACATGAAAATTGCAACGAAGTGATATGTTTCTAGCAGTTTCAGTCAAATTTCATTTACGATGGTAAAATAAGTAACATCTGATTAGTTATTGATCAGATTCACGTTAAGACACAATCCATTCAGGTGCGGAATAATTTTCTTCTGTGTCAACTTCTTGCATGTAGTATATATTTCATATACTAAAAAAATACTTAAGAAACATTTGTCATTACAAGTAAATGAATTTTGCAATAATACTAGTTTGAATTAGAGCTAGAAGAATAGTGTACATACATTAAATTCATGTAAGTAAAATTAACTACTTCTAACCTGCTTAGATTTAAAATGTAGAATAGATCACATAAGAAATCAAGAATATGTACTATGTTCAAACTATGTTCTTCTATTTTCATATACAATTCATCGAGTTTTTAATGGAATTGAACATTGTGGTACATACATGCTTGTACTTACAAGTTTCAAATTACCACATTCCAGAGAAAGATTAAAAAAGACATACATGTATAAAGGTTTGGATATTCCGATATGATGGGAATCCACATAATCTTCAAGCATAAATGTTACCCTTGTACATGTTCTTGTACTCTTGAACTAATATATGTATAAATATAAATAATAATGTAATATATTTCAGTTGAAGATAAAATTCACGATAGTGATGTTTGGGTGGAGTCCAAGAGCGTAAGTAAGACGCGCTGACAAACATACATACGGAAAGGGTAGATTCTGCAAATCAGACAACAGAATGATGTGCCCAATTTGAAACCCCATTGAAAGGACTGATCATGCATGAAAGGTCACAACTCATGCATGGGTTTTCAAACTTTGACACACACTGCTCAGATTCAAGCCATCGCATCGCGCTCAAGATGTACACGGTTGCCTCAAGGAAGTACAAATTACAGTTTGCGTCTTTTGGAATATAAAATTCAAACCTGCGTAATTCGATGTATGCGTGTAAGTGATTTCAGATCGTCATTTTTGTATTCTTGCCAGAGTTTTGAACTTCCCAATCAAGCAGTGAATTGTCGCCCTTGAGGAAAATCCAGTACTCGTTCCGTCTCCAAAGACACATAGGTTTCACAACGAGGAAATCAACGTTCCAAATCACAAATAAAATTCACTATTGGGTCCTGGAATTATTTCATGGCTCAGCAGACGATCTCCTCACACATCGCCGAAGACAAAGTTCTCAGGTCTTCGGGTTCGTTCGCTTGCCTGGAAGCCATGGATTCTCTCATCAACGTGAACAAAAATTTTGATCTCTTTTGCTCGTTTTATTTTCTCATCCTTTGAATGAAGTACGGTAAGACTCAGGAGTATATGTGGTGACTATCAACGGACACGCCCAACTGCGCGCCCCGTCTCAAATCGATTAAATGCACTGGATCAGACTCTCTCGGACTGTCAAATCATATTCTTTGAGGGACTGGAAGCATCGAATACTGATCGTGAAGACGGGAGCAGTGCAAGTGCAAGCATGGAGTCTGCAAAGAATCCTACGAACACAAGAGCAGAGGGAAGTGCGAGCGACTTGCCCGCAGCTGTGGAGCTGCAATATCCAGGCTCTTTGTATAAGATTCCAGGGTCTCTCGGTGACCGTCACTCGATCGATTTGGATTCTGATCACCTCCAAAACGTCCTAGCCAGTCGGAGGAGCGTCCTGAGCACGATGAGCGAGCACAGGCTCTCCAAGGGAACGGATGAGCCTGGTGGGCCTCGTTCCAGTATCGAATATTTTTGTGAAGCTGAAAGAGGACCTTTTTCAGAAGCCTGCCTAAATAGAGATCGACCACGAGTGGATGATACAAGAGTCTTATCAAGGATTCTTAACTTTGCATGTCCGCGATATTCATGGTAGATGCGTTGGATTAGTTTCAAGCTGGCCCTGGTTAGTCGGTCATGATCATTTGAAGCGTCTGTAGTTGCAGATTTTGAACTCTAATTTCATCGTAGTTCACAATATGATAATGTCTTGGTGTTATAATCTGTTGATCTATGACATAGAGCACACGTTGGGATAAATAACGGAGAGAAAATCCACGCAACTTGCATAATTTGGTTTCTTTCTACGGGAAGTGGCCTTCATCGGCTATACTTCATGACTTGTCTTTTATAGTGCGGAGTTGAGCTCACTGTGCTAAGCTTTCTATTGTGATCCATGCTGTAATATAGAAGTTATGAAGATGCTTAGAAATGATACCATTGTTCCCAGCCGAGACTCGGACATGTTGTTTGTCAACCCTACATATTTACCAAGATCCACATATTGTGTTCATATCCACATATTGTTCTTGTAGTCAGGATCTTGAATATTGTAGTTCCATACAAGATTACACATGGTTCTTATTACGTTGTCATAGTGAGTGGCAGGCTTTGGCTCTATTTGTATGTGGACATGCTATTATCAATGTTTGACATCTCACAATTACCCGATAGGTCAAGGTTATCGAACAGTAAAAATACCCCTGACGCAGTGAGGTCTTTCGGCTGTGGGATGAGATTGGAGCATTGTTTCTTGATATTAGTGAGAAGCTGAGAACTTCTCAAGACATGGTTTCTTTTCCTAATCATATGTGACAGCTGAGACTGGAGAGTTGCGCACTGATGTTAGAGAAAGATTCAAGCACAGGACAAGTCTTCTTCTCGTGTCATATTGTTTTCATTCTTCAGAAGATATGGTGCAATGCTTCGAACGAGTGAGAAGATGTGGTGAAGTTCAAAGAATACGCCGAACACAAACCGGTCAAATGTTCTTCTGTAGTCAATCGAGGCACAAGAGCGTGGAGTCACTATCTCTGGACAATCCAACTGCTAGAAATTCTCGGCTATGAACCTTAGATGCCTCTTTGTCTCGGAAACTCAGGCAACCTATCAATTTATTTCGCTATGTCATGCAGTAAGTGTTCAGTAGGGCTCTTCCATGAATTGGTCGGCACATTCAAATACTCTCAACCAGAAATTACCATCGTGATGGCTGCACCACGACCTGTGATCTCATAAGGAAGTTGATTCGTTAGTAAATGTAAGACTGTCGTTTCAGCAGGATCGTCATTTCGGTTCAAATGTTAAGGAGCAATTTTTATAAAATTACATCTAAACAACGAGATGAAAGCAATAAATTCGAAACGAAGAAGAGTTGGGACATCAGCTCTCATTGAAGTTTCAAGCTTCATTAACTTTACATTTACAGGTTTGAATGGAAGAGGATCAATTATAAGAAGACGAGGGGGACATGCCCTTCATTTTCATTTTCACTGTATTATTTCCAGCCACTAATGAGAACCCTCACATGAAGTCTAGAGTTAATAGCCCCCTCACATGAAGATCTTATTGAAAAATTGTTGAGAATTCGTCTTTTATCGTTGAAATTTCAAAATAAATTTCCGAAGATATTTAAGAGTTTTGAATTGGATAAGTCTGAATATATTCTTCACTGACTCTAACCAAGATTTCCTATAACAGATCTTTAAAGCTGTATTTCAATTCTTCAGGTACCATTCATTTTGAATAACATCTTTTGGTGTGGATATCACATATCAATTCAAATTAAAATGACTTTGGGAAAATTTTCATGAATCGTTTTTGTTTTATCTCTCTAGTAAACTATGAATGAAGATAAAAACAAAAACGATTCATGAAAATTATCCAATAGATTAGAATGAATTGAAACTACAGTAAACTACAAGACAGTCAAAGGTAACTAAAAATGAGTTCTTGGATAACTACTCTTTGAAATAACCTAGTTCTTAATATTCTTAAATGAATTATATTCTTAATGCTTGTAAAAAGATAATATAATCAGAGACTACTCTCAAATATTTATGTTCAGACATGGAAACAAAGATGTTTCAGATTTCTCTATCAGATTCATTTTCTTTCACTAAGACATTATTCGTGACTTTGAAATTTTCAAATTGATTTTTTTACATTGTTTATGATTTTGAAATCGAACTGATACTAGAAACAAAATCCAATCCAACAATATGAAAGATTGAAACGTCATATTACCTCGTTTTACGTATTATAGCGTATTAGTTTGGGTTAAGCTAAAAGTCTTTTGATTGATGTAACATTATTGAATGTCGTCATATATAAATAGCAGAGCATATGAAAGAGCGCGGTGAGTATGCAGAATAGACAACACGATCGAAGATTTGTTACTGGGAGGTAGCATATCTGCAGCTTTCAAGGAACAGTGCTGGTGTGGTAACAATGAACGACTGCGCAACATAGAGCCATAAGAAGGACATGACTGGAAGGCACTTTGCAAGTACTTCGAACTTGGACAAAGAGATAGAAGCATACTTACCTGGGCGGGATCGATCGGTGAACATGAAGGCCGATGGTCTAGAGCTGCTCCCCTCATTGCACCACCGACGGGAGCGGCTTTAGCATTTCCTCAAGGGGAACATGCACGTCATAATTTGTGATCGATGGGGCTCGCGTTCGCGCGGCCCCTACCCTTAAAAGGAAATAGGATTAAATTTTGCGCACTCCAGTAGCTACAACAGGGCATGGATCCCACGACACCTGAGTTCATTGTTTGTGAGAGATCTTCACGCTGCCATAGATCCGTATCCGAGAAAGGATCCACGCTGCCATAGATCCGTGTCTGAATAAGGAGGAATACATTCTTGACATGTTATCAAAAATATATGGAAATCCGAAGGGGAAGATGGGCCACCAAATCAAATCCAAAGGAACAAGAACTTGACGTGCAAAGCCCTGCACTCTACTGTTGTTCACTATTTTCTCTGCCTCGTTTGTTTCCGCATTTATATTTGGCATGGATCCTTTTTGTCAAACCCTGCATTGCTGTACAGTAACTTTATGGGAGCTAGGTATCGAGATCTACGCGCAGAAGGAATCCAGGTCCTCACCCAAATGTGTCCAGTCTGGGATTCACAGTGCAATATCTGCATTCAACTCGCATACAGATTCGAGTGGACACTAGAAAGGTTCCGTGAGATACCGTAAAACTTCCAGTGACATTATCCTACGACGACCCCACGGGATCTTACGACGTCTTTTCTTTTCCTACAAGCACAACTGAGAGAATATAATTCCCTCCATCCAAACGTTTACAACCCTTCCCATTCGATAGTTCACTTGATTTGCAGTAGCTCCTAGCATATGCATATGTAATCGAAGGAAGACAGTCTGTTTCATCGCTCGACCAAAATGCTATTTCTTTGTTGATGAAGCACATTTGTACTCTTCATCTCATAAAAGTCCACCATCTGCCACGGATATCGTTACTTATAGAGATTTCTTTTGAAAGAGTGCCCCGACGTCAAGCTTTAATCCCGCTGAATCGATTGTGACTTTCATTCCTTGTGGCTAGTGGGAGTGAACCAGAGAATTATTTCAGCTGGATGATCTATACTGAATAGAATTGCCACCAAAACTAAAATGCGTTTCATGTATCTACCAGTGTCGCTCTTAATTAGTGGTCCTGTATGTACAATGACAGAAAGTTTATTTTCCACACCTCTGAATCTCATATGATGTTCTGTGATTCTATTACCACCATTTGGTTCACATCTGCAATCCAGCACACATAAAACTGAAGAGACCATCTGATCAGCAGAAATATTGATTGACTCGGTTATTGATATCTCGTTGTCTATATGTTTTAATAAAGATCTATCAAGACAGGAACTGAATATATGAAACTGACTGCTGGAGTTGAAATTCACGTTTGAGAGGCATCAATTTAAAAGCCATTAAATTAAATTGGTGCACACTTACGAAAACAGACAGAAGATACACTGCATTTTGAAGGCAATATATCATACCTATAATCCTGTAATACCTTAGATTCTTAAAGCTTTAAATTAAATTCTGCCAAATTTATTTTCCATGAAAATACTCAGATTCCACTGTAGCTTGATCATCTTCGTAATCTTGGTAACAATTAAGAAATAAAACCCAAATATCTGAAGATTAATAATTGTTTACTTCTTCATACAACCAGTCCTTGCACGAGTAAATACTGTATTAGCCCTTTCTTCTCTATTCATTGATACGAGCCCATCTTGGTATCATTAGATTATAATTGGTCCATTACATGGTTTCTGGAATCTATGTCGTTCCCTCTTTCTGATTATTCTCTTTCTAAGTATACGCATTGAACGCATATCATTCAACAAACCACTCCGATTGAACAGATTAATAATCTTGATATGTTTTAACTGCAATTTTGTTCAGATAAAATTCAAAGGTTAAATATTTTGGAAAAAAACTTCAATATCTACATTCCGCATGTATAACATCTATTTGACATATGAAATAAAAAAGAACTAATACAAATAATTCATTTGAGATAAGTATTATTTTCACAACTCTTTGAAAACACTGAAATAGCATTTTTCATATTTTTATTTTATGCTTAATATTAGAACATAGACGGTTAATGGTAAATAAAATTCAAATAGGATGCATGGAAAGGTGAATAAATATTTCATAAAACGAATCACATTTTCTATTGATCAAAATTGATTTTTCTTTTAAATTTTTATATATATTAGTATCTGTTTCTTTAGTTTCAAGCAAATTCAAGGACAATTTTATTTTTTAAGTGATTGGTACATATAAAATACAATGTAACAATACAACTTTGAAATTTACATTAATCAATAAAAAAATCAGGTTCATATATGATGCAACTTGATATCATAAACAAAATTATTAAAATATGATTAAAAAATTATCTCTAGATGATAAACCAACCATATAAAACATACATTTGAGATTATGTAGAAATTATTAAATTTGAATAACATATTTAGAAATATAAGTAATACAAAAAAATGTTCATAATGCAATAAATTTCATCAAAAATATTGTTAAAATTTCCTAATAATGAAAAAATCAGATTATTATATTTTATAAATCAAAAAATACATATCTTAATCAAATCTATCATTTTATAATTTTGGATATTTGGAAAATGTTACAAATTTAAAAACATTAGTAAACACACAGAACCATTTTTTGCATCTAAATGATTTACTTTTCAAAAAAAATGTTTTGAAAATTTGATTACTTAAGTTTTCATATCTTCATATTAGATAAAAAAAAAACCGTTTCAAAGGATTCATGACATAATCTAATGTACTCATATAAATGAAACAGATGTTAGACTCACTATGATTTAGAACATAAACTCGGATGCAAGCTCTAGATTTGAAACTTGGAATTTCATAACAACATAAAAATTAATTGGAATTTTTTTGGTTAAATTTGAATTTAAAATATTTTTAAAACATAGATAAAAAGTTTGATGCATGAGTT